TGCTCCTCTTCATCATTCTTCAAGGTTGACTCAGCCTTCCATCCTTCCGAGGTGGGTGAAATGAGGAACCAGACTGTGGAGGCGATATGCTGACTCTGTAAACCGCTTAGAGAGGGCTGAAAGCCCTATGAAGCGGTATATAAGTCTAACTGCTATTGCTATTGCTATTGCTATTGCTAAAATGGCTGCTGGGCCCAATTTCTGAACCAGGACTGAACACAAAATTCTGTTCTCCTTTCCTTGCAGGCTGTTCTCATGCCCCCACCCAGGATGACGAGGTGTGAGAAAATTGCTTGCCAACTCACTGATCTGATCCAGGAAGATTAGAAAGTAATCACTTGCTGATCCCAATGGATTCACAGCTGTCACGTTGAGCATGTAGGGATCGGTGGAGAACATCTGCAAGCCGGCCAAGCTGCAACTGTGGCTCTCTGCCACGAGCTGTTTGCACTGATGGACGTCTCCCATTAAGCCGTGCCTGTGGTCCACAAGGAAAACTGGGTTCAGACTGGTGTTGCATTTGTGGCAGCTTAAGGGTTGTGCGTACGGGTGTCCTGGTGACTGCAGCCATGGGGGAATGTAGAAAGTTATCCCCCACCCCTCTCCTAGAAGAACGAAATATTCTAGGAAATATTTTAAAAGGCAGGATATTATATTTCCCTGCGTTGGAAGAAATATCCTTCTGGGTTCAGTTCCAAGTGGGGGGGAAAGACACTGGATTCGTGGAAGTTGCTTGGAAAGAGGTTTATGGATGAACAGGACCACATGGTTTGAGGTCCTGGGGAGGAAAGAGGAAGAGATGCTGAGAGTCTCTGGGTTTTATGCCCTCTCTGGGCTTTTGAATTTGACCTTGTGTTCTGATTGGTTGTCAGATTCCCATGGGGCCAAGCAGGGGCAACTCTGAATGCTGTCCTGAGTCCCAAGCTTGGTTGACTCTTGCTGGGTGATGATGTAATGAAGGGGCTTTGGGCAATTCCTACTTTGGCTCTGCCTGAAAGAGGTAGATGTTTGTTATGTAGAATAGACTAACTCAGGTCTTAATGGCCCATTGACAACGGTGGGTGTGGGTGTTAGTTTCTGCCTCCCTTTTAGGGGAAATATTCTGCCTTTCTAATATCTCCTAAAATATCTCATTTTCCTAGGAGAGGGGGTGGGTGCTAACTTCCTACACCTGGTTGAGAAAAGGAGAAACATGTTTTTAAAAGACAAAAAGCAGTTTGCTCCCCCGGCAGATAATTGGTGTGCATTAAGACTGGGCCAGCCGATCTACAAAACAATTAGAACTTCAGCTCCAGGGCGATGGGATTAAGACAGGACCCTCCAGGCAGAGGTGGTTATTCAGCAAGTTCTGGCAGGTTCTGGAGAATCGGTACCGGAAAATTTGAGTAGTTCGGAGAACCAGTATGCCACTGCTGGCTGGCCTCGCCCCCATCTCTTCTCTGCCTCCTGAGTCCCAGCTGATCGGGAGGGATCTTGCAATAAACTTCCCCTGCCATGCCCACCAAGCCATGCCATGCCCACCAAGCCACGCCTACAGAACCAGTAGTAAAAAAAAATGGAATCCTACCACTACCTCCAGGACATAATAGGATTAGCCCTCTACCCATCTAACAGCATTGCAAAGTCACTGCATTGCAAAGTCACCTGGGGAGATTACATCACCCAGCAAGGCTCAACCAAACTTAATTCAGACGACCTAAAAAGTTAGCCATGACCCCCGCATAGCCCCCTGGGAATCTGACAACCAATAGAATACATTTCTTGCACAGGAACAGGAAGCTCAAGGGCAAGACCCAAGAGAGGGCATAAATACCACTCTCTCTCAACTCCGTTTGGTCAGCTGCCCAGGATCTAAAACCCATGTGGTCCTGTCCACCATTAAACTTCCTTCCTTCCTTCCTTCCTTCCTTCCTTCCTTCCTTCCTTCCTTCCTTTCAATGTATAACCCACCCACCCCAATCGCAAAGATTCTCAGCTGCTCATGAACACACAAAAACAGTCCATGAAAATTATAACTATAAATACAATTAGAAACCCAAACACAACTCATCAGGCCTCCAAAGTCTTCCTGAAAAGTTCCATTGTAGGCTCCCTTCTAAGTCCTTCACTGCTATTTTTATAACACCTCCAACACCTTTGCTCCTTACCTGTAGCTGGCAAAGAAAGATGTGGGCAGAAGGGTGTCAGATTCCAAAGTCCAGGAGCAATTGACCACCGGGTAGCTGATGGACCTGCAATGGATCGATGGTTTCTTGGGAGGATCTGCAAAGCAGAAGCCCAAAAGGTGGGTGACACATCTGGATCCCGTCTTCCTTTACAGGTAGTCCTGGACTTATGACCAAAATTGAGCCCCAACTTTCTGCTGATAATTAAGACAGTTGTTAATTCTGGCCCATTTTACGACCTTTCTTGCCACCATCGTTAAGTGAATCACTGTGTCAGGGCTCCGACGGATGCCCTAATTAAACCATGAGTCTCGAGCCAAGCTTCAAAAGAAACCCAGTTATTTATTAGGGGCAACATGTCAGCAGGTATCCAAGCGAAGTCAACTCTGGACCCCAGGTAATTTACGACCCAATTATGGCCCAGTTGTTAAGATAGTAACATGGCTGTTGAGTGAATCTGGATTTTGCTTGGATTTTGCAGGTCAGAAGGTCGCAAAAGGGGACCGCATGAGGGCATGAATTAGAGTTTTTCCAAACTTGGCCACATTAAGATGTACAGACTTCAACTCCCAGAAATCTCTATGCTGGCTGGGGAATTTTGGGAGTTGGTTCACCACACATCTTAAAGTGAGAGATACTGTCATGAAGGAAAGAAGGAGGGAGGGCAGAAGGATGGAGAGGGAGGCAGGAATAGAGGAAGGAAAAGGAAGGAGGGAGCAAAGTGGGGGGAGGAGGGAAAGCAAATGGATGGGAGAAAGAGGACGAAAGGAAGGAAGAAAAGGATGGAAGAAGGGAAAAGAAATGGGAGGGAGGGAGAGAAGGAAGGAAGGAAGGAAGGAAGGAAGGAAGGAAGGAAGGAAGGAAGGAATTGCAGCATCATATGGCTGGGTGGCTCCATTTGGGTAAGAGAGTTTGGGGTTCGGTTTCCTCACTCACAGCCCAGCCGGAGACGAATCCTTCGCAGGGTCTGCCCAGTGCTGGCATCTTGGCACCTGTATTCCCCTTCCTGGGCCAAACTGGCATTCTGCAAGACTAGGCTGCCATCTGGTTGCACCCCGTCCAAAGCGGTCTCTGAGCTCATATGGTTTTTCCATGCCACCCGGGATCTGCCTTCAGGAACAGGGCAAGGCAAGACCACGGTGGTGGCCCCGAGTCGGGCATACTGATGGTCGATGGGCTCTATGGTGGTCAAGAAAGAACAGTGGCGTAGGTTAAAAAAAAATAGTATGCAGCATTCGCATAACAATAGCCTGTGTTATCATGGACTATGGTTTGCTTCACCATTGTATAAATCCTAATTTGGATTACGGCCTCTCTGGGCCCCCGAAAAGCTGTGTTTTTCAAAGCTGGCTATTTTAAGATGTGTGGACTTCAACTCCTACAATTCCCCAGCCGTGTGTGTGTGTGTGTGTGTGTGTGTGTGTGAGTGAGAGAGAGAGGGAGAGGGAGAGGGAGAGGGAGGGAGGGAATGTGTGAGAAAGAGAGAAAGAGAGAGAGAAAATGAAAGAGAGAGAAAATGTATGTGTGTGAGAGTGAGTGTGAGAGAGAGAAAAAATATGAGAGAGTGAAAATGTGTGTGTGAGAGAGAGAGCAAAGAGAGAGAGAGAGAAATGAGAGAGAGAAGATGAGAGAGAGAGAGAGAGAGAGAATGTGTATGTGAGAGAGAGAGGGAAAGAGAAAATGTGTGTGAGAGAGAGAGAGCAAAGAGAGAGAGAGAGAAATGAGAAAGAGAAGATATGAGAGAGAGAGAATGTGTGTGTGAGAGAGAAAATGTGTGTTTGTGTGAGAGAGAAAAATGAAGAGAAAGAGATAAAAATAGAGAGAAATGAGAGAGAAATGAAAGAAAGAGAAAATGTGTGTGTGAGAGAGAAAAAGAGAGAAAATATGAGAGAGAGAGAATGTGTGTGTGAGAGAGAGAGCAAAGAGAGAAATAAGAGAAGATATGAGAGAGAGAGAATGTGTGTGTGTGAGAGAGAAAATGTGTGTGTGTGTGTGTGAGAGAGAGAGAGAAATAAAGAGAAAGAGAGAAAAAGAGAGAGAAATGAAAGAAAAATGAAAGAGAAAATGTGTGTGTGAGAGAAAAAATATGAGAGGGAAAGAGAGAAAATGTGAGAGAGAGAAAAAAAGAAAAAGAGAGAAAATATGAGAGAGAATGTGTGTATGTGAGAAAGAAATGAGAGAAAATATTTCTGTGTGTGTGTGTGTGTGTGTGTGTGTGAGAGAGAGAGAGAGAGAGAGAGAGAGAGAAATATGAGAGAGAGAGAGAGAGAAATATGAGAGAGAGAAATATGAGAGAGAGAAATATGAGAGAGAGAGAGAGAGAAATATGAGAGAGAGAAATATGAGAGAGAGAAATATGAGAGAGAGAAGGGGGGAAATGAGGAGGGGCAAGGAGGGCCCACCTAACAACATCCAAGCTGCAGACCCAGGTTGTTTCTTCTCTTACTAGAAGTACTAAGGACCCCCGCCCGCCCCCCCCAATCAATCATTTTAGATCTGGAGGTTTGGCTCTCTTGCTTTAAGTGAGATGGAAGCATGGAGACTTTGGCCAAACCTACCATAGAAAGCAAGGTGCTAGTTCTCATGATGAGGCTATACATTATTATTTTTTTCCAAGCAAGCAAATAATTAAAACATAATAAATAAAATAAAATATGAAACAAAAACACAGAGCAAATAATTGAGCTACCCAGAACCTTCCCACCCAGAGTCCTACCTTCACTGGTCCAAGCAGTACTTGCAAGGACGATGAGACCAGACAGCAGGAATAGGAGGAAGGACAAGAGCCACTGCATCTGGACCGTGAGCGAAAGACAGAGTTGAAAGAACTTCTTAAAAAAACCACTTCACGCCCTTTTCCAGAATCTCACCATCTTTTTTTTTTTTACATCCTGGCAACCCAAATTGGATGCAATTGTAGAAAATCAGCACCCACCCCTCTCCTACGAGAACGAAGTATTTTTTTTTTAATATTCCTCAAATAGTTTTAATATTCCTCAAGAATATTACATTTATCTCCATGAGAAATGGAGAAATGTGTGTGTGTGTGTGTG